TTAATAAGCACGAAGAGGGGGTTATATCAACTTCTGTTTTAATATTACTAAAACGTGCTTTTGAAATGTAATATAAGATTTGGAAATTCGTTTTCAAATACATTTATAGTATACATCGAGTTGAGACAACGCATGAGGTAGTTACTCTTATAATTAAATAAAAATTTGTTAATAAAAGCTTATAAAAATATATCTTAGTAATATTATAAATGCGAATGTTTAGATGGACGTTTGTTAGGAAGGTATCTCCAGAACGGCTGCATGGATCTCATTGCAATTTGACACAAACGTAAAGCATAATCTGGAAAAACATATAGGCTACTAATCAAGTTTTATTTTAATTCCACATAGACGGAGCCGCGGGCGACAGCTAGTCGTAATATACAAGTCAACTTGGCTGGCAGTTATAATAAACAGGTGTATTAAAAAGTTATTTTCTCTTTAGACGTCTATAGGTAACAATCATTTGACTATTATACTACTATAAAACATTAAACGCGATACACTAGTAACGAATTTTTGAGTGCGATTACAGTTGTGTTGTGTTAGAGCGGGGTAGTGCTAAGTGAGGTTCACATTAGCGCCGCGCCGGGCCGGAGGCAACCGGCGTCGTTTCCTACAGACGTTTACATCAGCAACGCTATCTAATTTGCCATTGTTAATTACAAACTATAATACTAGCTGATACCCGTTGCTTCGTCTGCAGAGAATGAAAAATAAAACTGACTGTACAAGAGTTAAGTAACTAAAACAACACAACAACTTTTACAACTTACATTTTTACGGGATAAATTTTAGTCTATGTACATACTGTAATCTCTAAATTTCGTCCAGATACGTTTAGCTATTTAAAAGCTACCTGTTAAAAAACATATATTTTTATAACCTCAAACATTGGTATTTAACTGGGTTACATTTGAAATAATTATCGACTTCAAAAAATAACTTTGTGGCCTAATTCTAACGTTTCTATTATTAATACTTTATCAAGTCACAGAGATCAAAATTTATATTTAAAATTTACAACTTAAGATCTGTGATTAACCGAGAATGGAGTAAAGAAACAATGGAGGGTAAGAAATGAGGAGGGAACAATGAAAACGTAACGAGGTCCCGAAGGCGCCCTCTATCTAAAGAATTTAAGAATCGTCTATCCAAACAATTCAAGTTAAACTGTAATTAGTAAGGACCTATAAATATTAAAGTACTACATAACATCTATTGAACACCGACTGATATTAGGGTATAGTTTCTCGCGCGTTTGTATGTACGTGGGTTTTTGTAAATAATTTATTCCTCTGGGACGACCTAGAGTCTAAATAACTAAACTGATTTTGACAAGTGTCATTCGATTCGTTTTCTTTGGTGTGCATAATATTACATTGACACGAAACATTGGACGTAAGAAAGGAAATTCCAAATTATTGAAAAATGAGTTCGAATCTCACGAGCCATATTTTTATTTATTAATCATTTTTATATGCTATCGAGTACATTCTAATTAAACAGTGATTTATGTTAAATTGACATTTATTTAGTTTATCTTAAAAATGTTTGTTTTAAAAAGCCTCGGGTCCGATTTTAAATTTTTTTAAGGTTAAGTTATGCATTAATTAATTAAAGTAAATCTCGTCAAGGAATTGCTATATTATCAATAAACGGTTCTTGGTGTGGCTGTAAGCCACTATTTCTATTTACAGTAAATATAAGGAATTAAAAAAGAAATTAATTTGAAATCTTTCATATACCTATAGTATATCAGCTAATTTATACTTTCTTAATTAAGTACAGTGAACATTTCGTAACAAATGTTCCACAAAAGGGTACTACAAACTAGATCATTTAATTTTAACGCAGTCATGGTGCGCACCCCAAAGCGACTGTTTTGTACTTATATCCTTAGGGCTCTTCCACCATTATTAATTTTCATGACATTACCTAGCAATGCATTCTGAAAGGGGTAACTTTTACAGCCCCAGGTCAAAAATTAGCTATTCACGAGGGTTGACTATAATTAATAATTTGCAATGTAAATATATAATATCGTTGTCATTTTTTGTAGTAAAGGAGCATTGTTTTTATGGCTTTTGTTACAATAGTTTTTACAAAAGCAAAATTTTGGTATTATACACGTCCATAGCAAGTTATTTATTTAATTGTGTACACTCATGAGAGTGTATTCTGTTTATCCAAAAGAGAACATACAAAATAAGAGTGCAGTAAAACACAAACGAAGCAGTTTTTCATATTACCACAATAACAGGTTGTCACATAAAAATGTAAAAAGCAAACACAAAAGCGTCATCCGTGTATTTTCATAAAGCTGTATTATTTACACCCAGAAAGTATTTTCCGTGAGCGGCAACACATAATGCATTGTTTTTTTTTACAAAAGGGAAAATATTTTAGCTCCCTACAAAGGCAGCTCATTATAGTAAGCCTTCCTTGACTCGCGTACGCGTTAGTGCATTAATATCGTATGCAGTTTGTGCAAACGACCAAAGATACGAGACACGTTTGTAACAAGGTTTTTTGCAATTATATTCATAAACCACGTGTTATTACGTGTTATTTTTTTTTCAAATAAAACAACATTGTCTATTGTACTCTATTGTCTATGATAGCTTTATTAATCTCTACATCAGTAAGTTAACTGTCAAATATGACTGAGGTGCATTTATAATTTGCACAGGCGTTTGTTTTTACATCTCTACGTTCCTTTTTACCATTATTCTGCAATCATTCTTTATTACAATTACTTTTGTTATAGTATACATTGACGGAATTTAATTCCTACCGTTTAATACAATGTGTGTTATTTTAGATAGATACTGTTTGGTATGCATTAACCATGACAGCGGGGAATAAAGCGATTGAAATATAATCCTTTGGGTCTCCGCTATCCACTCATTGTAATTGCACATGTCCTTCGTTACCCAAACATCTGAATATAATACAATAAGTGTAAGTTAGAACTAATTAATTTACAGTGGGTTATCTCTGTTTTGTCAAAGATTATAGGGATAACGATAGGTTTTATACAAAGATTTTAGTGTCAGAAACCCACGGTCAGAAAGTCATATTTTTTTGTAATAAAGAGCATACAGTCAGGTACATTTTAATTAAAATGGGACACAAAACAAAAGTTTACTTTAGAGCATTTTTAAAAATATTCTTTATCCTGCTAAGTCAACTAAAAACTTTTTAATTTTTATTTTAAACATTAACGCAGTAACGCTTTTAGTATGTAGTAATAAATCTCAGTTAAAGAACAAAGTTTGATAATAATGAACTTCACTGTTCTTGAATAATATAGTTTCTATAATTATGAGTTGAACATTATTTAAGTTTGACACGAAATAATATGACAAATACGTAATTTATTTTTATCAAAAACTAATAATATATGTTACCTTTTAATGAGCTAGTACCTGGATGACCGGTATTTTTTTTTTGTAATTGTGTTTTTGGAAATTATATTTAAGTACGAATTACTAATAAATGTTGAAATATGAATAATATTTTTCGATCTTACTGATAGAAAAAGTTTAGTTTATGTTTAAGTTGATTATCGTTAAAACACGAATAAAATTACATTTTCTAAAAATGATTCCTAGCTAGATCGATTTATCGCCCCCGAAACCCTCTGTATACAAAATTTTATAAAAATCGTTGGAGCCGATTCCGAGATTCCAATTATATATATAGATATATACAAGAATTGGTCATTTAAAGATATAAGATAAAGCTTAAAAAAATGTTTTAAGATCTTCGTGAGCCATTATAATAAACTTATATATAAATACAGCTAAACACTCACGTATAATCGTCCGGTGGCGGCACCGACTTGTTTCGAGTTCATCGGGGGCTCTTCTTCAGGGTGAGTGGGACTGGTATTATTTCGCGGACGCGGCCAATCCCTCACTGAGCTCAGTGTACCACTCACCTTAAAGAAGGGCCCCCGATGGGCTCGAAACTAGTCAGTGCCGCCACCGGACGAATATACGTGAGTGTTCAGCCGTTTTTATATAAGTTTATTTTAAGGCCTTTTTAAGTATTTAATAGGTAAGGCTTTTTTATATTCTCAAATGAAAATATTCATAATGCAACATTTTGCCCTATTTTAGCTAAAATATAGGTCTTACGTAAACAATAGAAATGAACTTTTTAATTACCTCGTATACATATTTCATGACAAAGAACAGTTAATGAAAAGACTGGAGGTAAAAACGAAAATTATTTTAGTTTTATTTTCTTGTAGATTATAACTGAAATGATAGAGGTTAAAAATTGGAGCAAACACGAGTCATGTCATATGTCACAACAACAGACCAATTCAGGAAAATATCCAAGAGCATTAAAAGGGTTGACATGCTAAGAAAGAAGAGGGAGTTGGAATAAATAAAACTTTTAATAATTACCTTTATTATTTTTTATTATATTATAAGGTGACCACCTGAATTCGTAATAGCGAAGCCACTGCTGCTGCTGATATCCTATGCGCCCTTCCCGCCGCCAAATACACTTACTATCATTCCCTTACAAGAAAAAGATGGGAAGGGAACATTTAAAATATTTATAGGTCGTAGTATATTACAAATGATTAGTTTTCCGCCGAAGACAAAACGAGTAGTATGCAATTAGCGGGCGTAGGTCGCCGCGACAAAAGAACACTTCGTTTCACTTAATTAAAAAGAAGGCAAGTGCAGAGAATGCCAGTCAAGAAATATTGCCGCTTAAAACGTGGCTGACTAAATCTAAAGCCTTCTCCAAAAATGTGATATTATTAATAAATAAAAGCTTTATTGTGACACACATTAAAAAACATTTTGATTGGAGCCTCGACTCCTGAAATTATGATGTGCCTTTTATTTTTAGGATTATATGTCCTTAAGGTAATCATTAAAATACTTCAAACGAATCTGGAATAATCAACGACGTCTTTGAAATATTAATTAACAAAATTTACATTTTAATGTTACATGTTCTGTTGCATTTTATTATTGATTTTCTCTCGCTTGCACATTTCTTAATAATGTGAAAAATGAATATGCAGAATTCATTATCTGTAAAAAAAATCTCTACCTGTTTATAAATGTTTCGTCAGTCAAAACGATTAGAGATACATTTAACATACCGATGAAAAAGTAACTAAAGACAGTGTAAACATCTTTCCACCCGTGATTGATATTGGTCTGTTTGTCCTTTCTACGAATAACCGGAGACTGCTTTTGAATCTGCGCGATCTAGATGTCCAGTTACAACTGTAAACAGCTCGACTTAGTAGACAGCTCTGTTAGATAATTAAAAAATAAAATAAAAACGAGTTCATTGTTCTTTAACGCCAGTACTGCAATAAATATCTTACTTTTTCCATTATTCTGGTTCCAAACCAACATGGCACCATTATTTGTATTACCATAATAAACATGTAAGTTGCAAGAAAAATATAATATTCCTTTGCAGCGGGCTGAAACATTTGAGTATTTCATAAGGCAACAAATATAGTATATATGAACAGTGTGAATTAGAGACATTCCTAACTCTCAATTTTTTGTTTATAAGAGAAGGGGGCAAACGAACGGCGGGAACACCGAGGTGATCAACGACACCCATGGACTTTTGCAACACCAGAGGAACTGCAGATGCGTTGCTGGTCTTGAAGGAAATGGTATGCTCCCCATGTCGTATTGGTTTGGAAATACCGCCGAGGACAGACCGTTCCACAACGCAGCTGTGCGAGGCAAGAAGTTGCGCGAGAATCGCACCGTTGTGAAATGCCAGCCATCCAGGTGGTGTGGATGGAACCAATTATTTATTTATGAAAAAAATTACTAATATTATAAATAAGAATGTTTAAATCGACGTTTGCTTGAAGGGACCTCCATTACGGCTCTACGGATCTCAAAGCATTAGCAAAGATGTTGAACATAGTCTGGAATAACTACTGTTTAAGTTATGTTTTTATTCCTCGCGGTGTGAGTCGTGGGCGAAAGCTAGTTGTTCTATAATTCAGTTTTACTTACCAAAGTAAATCTAAACAAACACACGCATATAATAGACGAAGCCATACCGAATTGTAATAGTAGCGTGATGTTGAAGGTATCTTGGATGAGACTACAAAATCTAAAAGAAATCAGAACCACTTGAAACTTTACATCTAAAAATGATATAGCGTCTTTGTTAAATATTAATAGTCCAGATCGTTTTTTGTATTACACAAATTGAATGATCGTCTATGCAATACTCAAATATGGTTCATTCAAATATTATAAATGTAAAAGTTTGGATGGATGTTTGTTACTACGTATCTCCAAAACGGCGTATCAGGTTTTGTTGAAATTCGGCACAAACGTATAACATAGTCTGAAAGATACATAACTGAGGCTACTTACTATTTTTTTTTTAATTTTATGAAAATAGATGTCACAGACAAATAATCAATGTACTTACTTGCATAGTTCATCGTGATGTACGATAGCTTGATTAAAATTTATAATAACATTCTTTTCATATTGTTCTCTATCAAAATTTCTTTCGCCACTTATATTTTTGGATGTATCAGTTAGACAAGAAAGTTTATCTTTTAAAATATCCAACTGAGCAATCACCAATATCATTAATCCCAAGAAAAACGTATCAATATTAAGATTGGCAAGCATATGAAAATGAATTCCGATACTTTGATATAAATATAGTGGGTAAATAAATCTTTCTTTAATTTCCATTGGTAGGAAATTATAACTGCATATGGGAAATTCTGCTGATTTTTCCAAAACCACGTGGGTAATAAAAAAAGATATAATATGCGAAAGGTTAGATGTAAAAGATACAACTGCGACAATCTTCCAATAAACAATATTAAACTTCTTTGCATCATTCAATATTTTAATTCCGTTATCACTGACCGGTTCAAAAATCGAACTTTCTAACACTTCTAGAATTTTCCTGATATTCTTGCGTAAAATCAGAAATGTTAACACTTTCGATGTAACTGAAATTTCGGTAAAATAAAATATCATCTCTTCAATAAAAGCATCCAATTGGGACGGCAAGAAATAAAAGTTTACAGTCAGTAATACATCGTAAAAAATAATAAATAATAATAAAAATATTTTACAATACAAATTGTAAATAAATTTTATTTTACGATAAGGATATATCCCTAAAACTTTCCAGAATATCATATTGATATTAAAACAATCGATTTGCTTTAAAATCTTCATTTATAGAAACAATTTGTTTTACTTAGAAGAAAAAATATACTGTTCAGTTTTTACACCGCGACAAAATCATGCTTTATATAGATTCAAACCACAAAGAAATTGCTTTGACTTGTTATTAACAGCAGCAAAGCGTTTATATCTAATTAAAGGAACATAATATAAAGAACAAGTACGACAGAATTCTACAAGGGTTAAATTAACTGCAATTTATCTTTTCAAATGTAAAACTTTCATATGAACTACTAACTACTAGGATGTAAAAAACTAACAATAAAGGAAGTTTGTTATTACTTGTACGTACAGAAAAAATATTTCACCCAGTTCTACGCTACGTTTACGCTACGTCTTCGTCTACGTTTGCTTCTATGTCACCGTCTGCAAAAGTGTTCTACTTTACTTTTTAATTATTATATGCAATCCTAACTGAGTACGTAAAACTTAGCGGAATAACTAAAGGCTAGTGTCAATATTCTAAGTTCTCAGAATAATTTCAAATATAATATTTTTTTTATTATTAATATTTTAGACTCTTTAAGAATTTGGTGGTAAAGGAATATGCAAAGGAACAGTCTTATAGTGTTTTTCCTTTATAGTCTGTGCTATTATTTTAGTATAATTCAGTTTATTTGATTCAGATTGTAATTAACACAAAATAAGATACGAACGTTAATTTTAACAGTAATTTAGAACATACTAAAAACGTTAAAATATTATTTAATACAACGACTGTGGAAACAGCCGAGTTCTTAAGTTTATGAAAATTGCGAAGGCGAAGTTTGAACACATCTCCCATAAATCAAATTAAAGCACACGATATTTGAATAATTTAGTGTAAAGTAATATTATAAGATATGGAAAATCCTTAATGTCATTTTTTTTAATCTATGTATAACTATGTGTAACCTACCTACCTTATACAAACCTATCACCTTTCTTTGCTTCTTTTCTTTCCACAGTCGAATTGCCCATATGAAATTGCTAAATGTATACATATGTTATTCCAATTTTAAAGGGATAATGATAGGGATTAATAATAAGAATCGTTTCGGGGTTAGAAACCCAAATTAAATTTGCATCAATTTAATTTTTTATGTTTCTTTAAAAATATTGAAAAAGTATTTTTATTCAGAATCTAATTTCTGAATAATGAAAATTATGGATATCATAATATATTTCACAAAAATATGGCTATTTTACACATGGCCACTGGGCGAGTAAAAAATTTCATTGGCAACACTGGCTTGTCTTGACAGAAAGTCTGACTGCTGTGATTTATTTAGGTTATTTGAATTTGAAGCGCGGGTACAAATAAAACAAATCATAATTTTAACTAATTCTGAAAAATCTTCCAAAATGAGATTCATCATAAAAAACTCAAGCACTGGCTGTGAACGTGTGGGCATGTTGACGGAGTTCCTTAAAATGACTTCAGCTGTGATAGAAACTCCTACAGCTACTTTACTTACTCAGGTGTAATTTTATGTTTTATTCTGTAAATCGCGGTACGAATCTATGAATATTAGTATGGTATTTATAAAGTAGTGGTACAAAATAACTCTATAACTTTGTCTTTTTGTATATTTCTGTTTCCAATGGCACGTACAAGCGTGTTTATAGTATTAGTCATCTTCAAACTCGAATCGGAAACTGTATTCCACTCTTAGTATAATAATATAGCCGAAACTACAGGAATCATTACCAGTCGCACAATAAGACCGTAATAAGGTGAACAGAGGAATAGCACAGCTTGATATAAAACCTGAAGTATTTATTCTTTTTTGGTTTCCGATCACATTTTTAAATTTAGTGTCAGGTTCTAATTATTTCTGCTTGTTAAATTAATACCTGTAATTTTTCTCTTATACTCCTTTTGTGTGAGATGACTGCTGCGTAAAAAATGTAGATTTGCCTATGAAATGTCTCTTACATATTTCTTACTAATTTCAGGGTGGCAGTGTTGTGCATTTAACGGCAGAAGTACTCTCCAAAGTGTGTCCCAATCCACATTTGTTGTGGGTGCCTCTATCCAATTCTGTACATTTAGAGCATGGCTTGAAAGCACAGGGTGAAGGTGTAGCTAAGTTTGCGGGATTACAAGATCATTTCACTTGTGTCACTTTACAAAATATGAATGAAACAACACCATCGGGACATTTTGAGAATGATAGGGTACCTCTGTGGACAAAACATGGAAAGAAAATGTTAACAGCTGACAGGTGATTTACAATTTTATTTATCTACACTCTAGTGTATCAGCCATTAGCATTTTTAGAAAAAAATTAAATAAAGTAGAATTAAGTGCTTGACTTGACGGAACCCAAACCTATGTAGTGAGATTCAATCCCCAAATACTAATGTCCAATGTTTTTCAGTTTTTATTGTTAAATTAGAAATTTTCATTAATATTAGGTCAATTATAATGTCCAGTTCAAACAAAAAAATTACAGATATATGGATCTAATGGAAGTGTTCAAACCAGACATAATTTTAGCGATTGCAGATGGTCGTACATCACTCGCTGAGGGCTCCAAAAGAATATTGAAATCCATTGAAAGAACTGGCAATATGTTGGATTTATGTGTGAAGAGATATAAAGAATCCAAAGAACTGCAAAGCAGTTGTCTTGTAGGTTTGTAATACTTAAAACTATTCTCAGTATTAGACATTCTCTAATTCTAAAAGTATTGGTTTTAATAACTTAATATCACGATAAACTGATTTACTATTCATATTTTCTAATCATATACTTTCCATTTTGATAAAACCTGCACATATCTGGGAAGAAATTAAAATATATTTGTGAAGCCCGAGCCCCTCAAAGGAGACACATAGTGACTCGATGATGATTTACTTTCCAGGTGTTGTAGTTGGTGGGGGAATACCAAAGAAATGTGATATAAGTATAGAACATATTCTGAAATATAAAGATGTTCTCGGTGGAGTAGCCATTTCCGGCCTGACAGATGGAAGTGAAGAATTTTCAATGGACCATTTACAACCATTGGGCGAAATATTTAAGAGGGTTGGGGTAAGTTGTAATTTTTCTTGACACAACTTTTTTAAAGTTTTTTTTCCCTTATCTTACTAATTTAACCGAGCAATAGCTTTTCTCATAATACCAATAAAGTGATAAATTAAACAGGGCTGTTTTACTCAATGTTTATAGACCTACAGGCAATTTTTACTTTTAATTTATTTAATAGTCTGTTACTACATTCTAGGATGCTATTCCCAAAGAGCTATTGCATGTTGTTGAAGGATGTTGGAATCCTGCTGTGATACTGACCGCTGTGGAATGTGGCTGGGATTTGTTTGACGGTTCATATGCTGTTAAACTGACAAACTTAGGTCAAGCTTTGACACTTAATTTTGATGTGACAAAGGATATTGACAATCCTTATTTGCTTGACCTTATTGATGAACGGTAAGTTGACCTAATAATATTTTGGCTGCTGTTTTTATTGTAAAAAAATAATGAATTTTATTTTACATTTGAAATAATTGAGATCAGTGAAGTGAAATATAAAAGGTTTATGACGAAAGTAATTTTATATAATAAAATCATTTCATTCCATCTGGCAGTTATCAAGAAGCTATATTCATACATATTTTATATTTTGAATACATACAAGTATTTTTGGATTCTAATTGTTTTTTACAGTTACAAAGACCAATTTGTTCCAATACTGGATGGCTGTGAATGTCTTGCCTGTAAGAAACACACGCGCGCGTATATCCGTCATCTTCTTAACACAAGGGAAATGTTGGCATCCGTGTTGTTAAGCATGTAAGTTGCATATGCTTGATTTGTGCTGTTTTGATTAACTGTATGATATTTAGTTAATAGTTAACTTTAACGACATCAACGATTTTGTGAATATTAAATGGTGACAAAAGAGAAGCGGCCACCTGAATTCACCGAAAGGGCAAAGTGGCCGCCCATAGTGTGAAAGTGAAAGCCCATAGACATCCGAAGTTGAAGATGCGTTGCCTACGCCAATCGTGCGTTGGCTTTCGACGGAGGAGGGAAATTTACGCATATAAAGGGAAAATATCCTCTTCTGTGCGTCCCCTTCTCAAATCCACTTCATTGTTATGCAAATATTGCATAATATATGCAATATTTTATTCGCTTATAGCAGTTTCTGTCTTACCCCAGGCTTTGTCAGGACTGGGCAACGACTAGCTTATCCAAGTGTGACTGTATTTTAAAATAGCCCAGCTGTTCACACCAGTTTTATTTTTGTTGTACTAAAAATTTTATTTGTTAAATTTCAGACATAATTTGCATCATTTCGACCAGATGTTCTACCACGCGCGTCAACACATTGTTTCCAACACGTTTAATGTGTACAAGGCACATATTATTAAACAGTACGAATCATACAAGAATGTACAAAAGTCTGAGTCTACTGACTCAGACAACCAAACACCTCAAATCAAGAAATCGAGAGTAAATAAAGAAGTAAGCGATACATATACAAATAGTAATTATAGTACTTAACAGTTGTAACTGGTTTTATGTAAACTTTGAAAGCAACAGTGCAAAATAATTTGTATCTGTAGAAGTAACATTTTTAATGTTAAAATGATACAAAAGTACACTGAAAATTATGTTTAAAAAATAGCACTTTTTCAAATGTAATTTGAAATTGAACTTCAACATAAGAATTTAAGTATGACGCATTTTTTTGGGAGCTAGAGGTCGTATGCTTTTGTTGTCCACTAAACAGAATTGACGACAATTCGGTGATCTTTTTTTTTTAAACAAGGGAATGTTAAAAATAATATTTTCTAAACATACTGGGTCACGGTAAAGTGACATGTTTCCAATATACTAAAATAATTATCTTGAGTGCAAACTATTACATAACTCCAAATAGTGTGTCTTTTCTTTAAGAGATATACTTGACTGTATAAAAGTACAATAAAAAATGGTATTTAGTATTATTGCAACATTTCCAAAGTTTTTTTTTCTTTAAAAGAAATAAAAATGTTGACATTAGGCATTTTTGACTATTAAGTAGTGTAGTAGCAAATTTCAAGCTTTTTAGTTAGTTGTAAGTAATTAGTTAATTGTACTACAATGTTTCTTTTTGTATATTGTGTACTTTAGATATAAGATTAATTCAGTGATAAAACATCCTACTTACGTATGCTTTTTTTTAGTTATAAATTGTTAGTTTTGTTATCCAATTAGGACCAATGTGCTGTGCATTCTATTTAGTTGTATTTTACCTTTTTTTTAAATAATTATACCATAATAAGCAATAATAAATAAGGTGACAAAACTGTTTTTTTTTTAATAAAGCTAATCCTTTCATGTTTTATGTGTCCTATACTGTAAATTAGTTATTACAACGCTTTTTAGGCAACCATTTTATGTAGTTAATTCATCATCTCTAGAGCTTCGGTGGCTCAGGGGTTAACTCCTAGGTTCGAATCCCGCCATGTACCAATGTGTTTTTCAACTTTCGATAAACAAATGTACTTTTATCCGACGTTTTGTACATATCTGCGAAGAAATTTAAAGATATGTGTGAAGTCAACACATCCACACTGGGCAAGCATGGTTGACTGGCATAGTCACCCCTACATAGTGTACGCTCCGAGTTCCTAAGTGAGGACGTATAGTGAGCTGATGATCATCACTTGCCACTCTCATGGTAGTTTAGGGGATATTGAAGTAAAAAACTGTATAACACATTTTACATAATTATTTTAATGATAATATTTACACAATAGTTGAGTGACCACACTTATTGAGCTACGTATATCGTATGAAATGTGCATCAAGTATTAAATGTATATAGTAATTGTAATATGTTACCGAATATATCTATATTTAGATAGATTAAGGAGAGGATTTGGCAGGATTTTGCTCGATTAAATTACATTCAAATTCAAAAGCAACTCGTTACAAATATAAATATATTGTTGGATAGCAAAACACAACCTTTACATAAAATATATAAACATTAAAAACTGTAGTATATAATAACTCTCTTTAAAAAGTATAATGAAATAAATACAATTTGCGCATTTACTTTCACGACTTAAATACTATGACAAATTTCTACAATATTTTTTAAAAAGACATCAATTTGTTGGCGCATTAGATTTGGCACACGAAATTATAACATCGCAGTCTACCTCTAACATTCATAAGCCAATTTAAAACATAAATTTTAAAGCCGTAATAAATAATACAAGCGAACACAAGACAGTGAAATAAATATATTTTTTTTTCTCTACAATTCTAGTGTATAATACATCCCACGATATATTTCTGTGTATATTCAATTAAATTTCTTCTAAGTACATTTTATCTACAATGAATACAAATTAAATATTCGAATTTATAAATTATTTCGATTTACATATTCAATTAAATAAAAAAAAATTGAATACAAAAGTTGTATAATTAAAATAATGCATCATTTCAACTGCCGTTAATTGATTGCTCTTATCTAAACTATTCACAGTCTACAAATGAGAATATATCACATCTACCTGTGCGATACCAAACAACTCAAAGAAGACATCAAATTTTGACAGCTGCGACGGTCGCCATTTTGAAATCCATATCGTTACGATACAATACAAACAACAGCCTGACTTATCTGCAAAGTGGCGAAAAATGAAACTAAATTATTGAAATTCAAAGTTTACGACAGTGGCGCCACTTGACAGATTAATCAATCGGTTTATTCACCGTCTAGTTACACTATATCTAAAATTTCTTCTGGATTAAGCACTTTAACATTGGTTATGTTCCGTTCACTGGTTCAATCACATTTCCAGTCACACATGTCCTTTGTTTTCTTTTCACATTTAATGATATTATTATAAACTGAGTGCCGGATCTTGCACTATACATACTCATTTGTACCGGGAGTATTAAGAGGTTCTTGTGCCTGGAAAAAAAAACAAAATTAGTCTTTTCATGTAATATTTTTATCTGTAAAATAAGCACGATTTTAGAACAATGTCATATTTATTACAATGCTACGTAGAATTTGTATTATAATTATTACTAGATATTTACATATGTTATTTTCTACTCCTAACTAAATTTGACTGAATTGCCACTGTTTGCCGTGAGAAGGCATTTACAGCTTCACCGAGCTTGAGGTGGCCGAGCGCAGATGGCACTTAGCCTAAACCACGTTTAAGAGTAACTAACCTCGAGGGCTCCCTCAGAAACCTAGGCTCGGGCCGTTACTTCGTCATTATTACCGGATTGGGAGTTCTACTCCTAAATATTGTTTAAGGTTTTTTCATTGCTATTTAAGTTAAAATCTACTATTGTCTTAATTATACTTACCATAAAATACTCGCATGGATATGCGTGAAAAGTAAAAAAATATTTCGCAGTAAAACATTACAAATACGATCGCAATTGACAAAATAACAGCTATCCAAAGGGAATATTTACAGCGTTACACTAAATTTTAATACAATTAATATTTGGCAACTATCATTTAATACTGATACGGTAAAAATGTTGGCACATTCATTTTGCCACAATACTTACACTAAACGAAAATATTCTCTATAAATATCTTAAAACGATCCCTAACAAATATAATTCTAAATACATCCAGTTTAAAATGTCTTAGGCAGACCTCACATCTGTCCTGATAATCCTATAGATATTTTATATACAATGTCTGTTTTCTTTTGTATGAATTAATTACTATTTTAGAGATTTAATTTTAAGTAAATTAATTTAAGGTTGATTTAAAACATGTTCTTAATATTGTTAGAAAATGGGTATTGGACTTATCTAAGACTGTTTTGTATGTTGAGCGTACATTCCATAGCAGTGAGTGCCCTTACCTCTTCGCCAACGGTGCTGGGGTAAAGCTTGCTACCAGGCGCGTAGCCATTCTGTTCTAGAGCGAATTGGTTCTCTGTTGTCTTCCTGTACACCGGGTTGTCGAAGTTCATAGATGTGACGTTACGATGCATGTAGTGACGGTACATTACAACAATGATCTGAAAAAAAAAGATATTATTTAAAAAAAAGTTTTTATAGTAGCTTGGTTATTCCATTGTGAGAGGTTTTGAATATGTGACCATAGCATTTAAAACTCATATGGTTGAAAGTAAGAAATTTTGAAGTAGAATTTAAAATTATCGCATGTAATCTTTTTGTCGTCAGTTATTACGTAAAAGTTGTAAAAACATATTTGTTCATATGGCTTTGTTACGACATTGTATCGTCAACACGAGTCAACTTTTATACCTATTAAATACGTAAACAAGGAAACTTGACAAAAGAATATATTGGTTATTTTTTTTATTAAAGTAAATAACTATTTATATATTTACTTAAAATGTACTTCGTACTTGTAGGATTGAAGTACATTCAATTACGTATATGTTATTTAAATGTTAACAAATATTTCCGATTAAATATCAATGATTAACACTATCTAAAGTAGTAATTCTCATTCCTAATCCGCAATTGCCTTGATGACGAATTGCGAAAATTAAAAGCTATAAATGTCTAATTAAGATAATTGAAGCTATTGATTCATTACTGATAAGCTATCAAATTAAACAGAGAGGCGTTTTAATCATCAATGAAATATTGTTAAAGATAAAAGCAGATGGATGGATTTGTTTTTAATAATTAATCATAATCTATAATTATGTGGGTTCATGGTAATTTTTTTCCAAAATCTTTCCGCAACGAATAAAAGACGGCTTGTTAAGACAAGCCGTCTTTTGAATGAATTGATTATTGTCTCTGTAAATTTCAACAAGTTGACCTCGTGTACAGGACTTCTGATATCTGTCTGTCAGCCTCAATCAAGCTTGGATACAACAAGGACGAGTCGAAAGCGAATGCAATCAACTATGCGTGTACTGAATAATTTTACGTGACGTCATACTGTTTGTTCAGTTTTTAATTAATATGATTATTCTCGACAGCGTTTGTGGGTTATAGACGCAATTTATGTATTGACATTAGCTTATTCTATTTCCCTTTATAAGAAAACCCACAGTAATCCCCAATTAACATTGGTTAGGAAATCCACAAGGGCAAATAATAAAGAACGTAGGAAAAACTTGCGCAAAAAGATCAATCAGAAATGCTTTTTTCTACATTTTAATTCATTTAAAGTAGAAAATAATTTTCTCTATCATTCTAGAAATCGATTTTTAACACGATTACATGAATTATGAGTAACGATTTCTCGGATGGAAACAGCAAATGTCACGGGTTAAATAGAACGATGCTATTTTAGCGGATCTATAAATAACTGGTGATCGCCTAGTAGTCGAAATATGACAGCAATCTAACTTTTTCCACTCTAGTTGTTTCAAACATAGGTACAGTTTAATATGTGCGCTTTAGTTTCAACATTCGAATACTTCACATTTGACTATGAACATTAATAGATTTTACAAAAAACTTGCGCTAGGACAAAATCACATCTGATGATGAGGTCTTCAAAAGATGGTGTATATGTTGTTATTGTAAATCAGAAAGATCTGACTTCTTACTAACATTATAAATGCGAATGTTTGGATAGGTGGATTTTGTGCTGTAATTTGGCATAGATGTAGAACAGTCTGGAAGAACACATAGGCTACTTAAGTTTTTTTTAATTCCGTATGATAGGTGTCGGGGCGATAACTAGTTAATGCAATACTTACCAATGCAGCAAGTACAACGACTCCTGTAATCACTGCTATCACGATGCCAGCAACGACGCCCGCGTCGCGCCCGCTCGATGAGATTCCCGTGTTTGTCTTTGGAGTTTCAGGTACAGCTGTTAAAATTACATTTAAATTAGCATCATTACTACAAAATGTATACAAAAATCGAAGTGTTGTACCAATTTTTGTATATTATAAAGTAAAAGATCTCTTGGTTTTTTTTGTATATATACAGTGACGTACCCAAGCCAACAGCACAGTAGTGTTGCAAGATATTGATACTAATCTTGAGGTATTTAATTCACCCTTTATTAAAAGTTAATAATATACTTACAACACTTTATAAGCTAATACTTGGGTCAAAGTATATTTTGCATATTAAGTGAATGATACATTTTTTGTACATTTCACGTAATATTCAAAAATACTTTTTTTATGAAATTGTTAGACAAAACCACCACCTTGAATCACAAAATGATTAACACATGTGTTATTAAGCGACAGAAAAAGACACAGGCAAGATTATTTTTTAATAATACCCTCAAATTACAAACAAGTTAAAATTTATATATGTACATTAGGAAAATCTATTCACAATTTTTTAATCTATTATATAAACCTAAAGTAATTAATTAATATAATAAAATACAATAGAAGCACTTTGTTTTTATTAAATTAAATAACTATTACATATGAGAACCTGTGCATATTATATTTCTCTTCAACTTCTTGTTACATAAGACAGTAGTGTGGAGACCGCGGTCTTCAATGCAGTATCATGTTGCATATCAAAGTGCTATTGTTACATTCAAACACACAAATTACCTCAGTAGGGTAGTATACATATCCAGAATGTATAAAATCTACTTATTGGAAAAACTAATACGATTTTATTAAGAAAATTTAGATTTTCATTAAAAAATGGTTATAAGTTTGGATCGCGAGTGCAGATTGCCTTGATAATCGCCGTCCTTCATAAGATGGTACTTTAAGATTGGCTTGGATGTACTAAGGTTGATTTGATTACGATTGGTTTAAAAAATACGATTCACCACTATAGGCGGATTAAAGTGGAAATATTTAAAAGAGTAGATAGTTTTTTGAATAATATTAAATATTTCAGATAATGACGATAAGGCATTTTACAAGCAAGAGACAGTTTTAGATGTGAATTTATAGAAATATGTGGAATTAGATTTACGAAAACGTGGTTGAATTAAAGACGGTTAATAAGATGTCAAGGAAGAAATGTGATTTGTTCACATAAATTTGTAACGTTAAATTTGTGCAGTCCGTGTGTAAATAGTATATGTTTAGACGAATGAATACAATGAATATATCCAGGAACACGACAATGAATGAAGCTCCCAAAGCGTGACGATCGCATCAAACTGATGTCAGATAATGACTAATACATTTTTCGCGGCTGTGATTTCGAATTTATATTAAAAGCTACGCTTATTACGTTAGTTATAAAAATATCGAAAGTTCCAACATTCACATTTAGTAAGTTAGTAATTGATTTACAACAGTGCATGCAGTTCTCAATGAATCTGTATGTCTTCTTTTTTTTACTTAAATAAAATTAATAATTGTATGTATACTTTACCCTTAATATTATTAACTATCACATCTGGCAAGTATTGTCTCAGTCTTTCCAAATTGTAATGAAATTCTTTAATAGGCTCCTCGGTTGCATCTGGTATCCTCTCCAGAGCGACCCCCTTCAAGTAAAGGTCTATTAATGGTTGATTTTTATTTTTTAATTCCTTTTTATCACTCTCCCAATACGCCTTCATTGGCTCGGAATTGACGTTAGTGGTGGGCGTAGGTTCCTCAGCTGACGGCTCCTCTGTGGAGTCTATTACTTCTCCGATGGCACGTCCCAACTTCAAGAGAAGGCCTAACCCTTCTCTTTGTAAATTCACCATATGTGATAGACGTGCCGTTTAATGGTCCCCTTTCAAAAGCGTAAGTCATCAATTTGTTAACTAGGAACTTGGCATGCCCTGCAAATCAATCAACGTTTCCCGAATTGAAGACACACAGATATTGAAAGCACATTCACATCGAACATGTTAGTAATTGGTGACAGATGAGGTTATCCATAAAGCCGGTTACCCAATTTTTAACGTGGAAGAATGTTGATGCATGATTCCACGATCTTATCAATATTAAATGATTGAAGTATCAACCCATTCCGTGAAGCACCCACGTCCAAAATTGTGGTGACACTTTATTTATTTCTCAATACCTTACTTTGAAAAATATAAAAAAAACTTTCACTTTTCAAATAATCACGGTCACCGCAACATTGAAACGAATCCAAATTATTTTTATTAATTTTGGATAGAAAAAAGTTAAACTGAAAAACATGGATAAATAGTATTGAATACTCACTGGTTACAGGTTTTTCGTGAACAACTATTGGTTCATTCGAAACATTTCTCGGTTTATGCACCTCCACATCTGGTTTTATTGCATCTGTAGATTTTATTATAAAACACCTTTTATAATTGTCCTTGATCTTCGGTATTGTTTACAAATATTAGGGTGAAACGATCACAGGAATTTATTAACTGACTTAAATTATATACGTCTATATCGGGCCACGAAGCGAAACTAAATGACAGACACACCACAAGCTCGCGCCGAGCGCTATTCGCCAATGACGTCCCCATCTCTCCGACTACGACCATTCCCCGGCTGTCAATTTAACTGTGCGCGATACGGCACGCACTTTACGTCTGATGCGTTTACGCAATATTCAACTATGGTGTAAAAGAATAAACATATGTTAAATTAATAATCACACACATAATGGATGTCTTAATGTAACTCTATATATATTTAAAATATTAACATATATTGCTTCGATACTAAAATAACGTATTAAGTTTTTTTACTAATTTTCGTAAATAATATCTTTTCGCATATATTTAATGACATACTCTTTAGCATTGTTACATATAGTTATTGAGTCCCACGTATAACATAATTGTATTGAAGATTTACAAGCGAGGTCACACCTACTCGACGCCGAGAGCGGCGAGCCGGATCGCGCGCCTATTGACTAACGAAAGGTGGCGTGATGTGACGTCACGTCACCTTACAGTCTACAACAGCACGTTATTGGTCGACAGAAATGTGGGTAAAATTGTTCTTTTTGTAACTTCTGGGTATGTTGTGGAATCCTAACGATGTAACGATTCCCTGATGTGATACGAACAAATCGATACATGAGACCGAATGAAAGATACGTTCAACATGCCAACTCTTATATAATAGGTAACTATTATAAAAATGCAGTGTTAATATTAAGTCCATTTGAGTAAATTTATTTGTAAATATAACGACCGATGTCTGTGGTCTGTCTCGACGATAAACATAAAATTAATTATAAACGTAATATTAATGTGTTTATGTTACATACTACGCGCGTTATCTGCAATACACAATTACTATATCAGCATTCAACATTCGACGAATATGCGATACGAAGTACCCATATGTGCTGCAATCGTAATAAACAATGACTAATGATTCCTAGACATCGTTTATAGCTGAGCCGACATATAAGTTCGTCCAATCAAACAGGTATGTGTTGTAGATGTGTTAACACTAGATTTACTTGTGACGATGAAAATATCGTACGATGTGATGTCATAGGCTGACGTGTTTCTCACGCAATCGACTAAACAGCCATTGATATTTTTACGGACACACACGACCTTGATGTAATGGAACAATACACGTAAAATATGAAAAATAGTCAAAAAATGTAACAATATATTTAATTTGCAATATTTAATTTTTAGAAACGACTTGTTTAGTTTTGATATTACTGTCCGAATAGTACCCTCTCTCGTCTTTGGGGTCTAGACCCCAAGATTTTACCTAGACATAATGTTCTTGTAATAAAAAATAAATGTTTTTAGTTGTTAATGAATAAGCTAAATTAAACTTATAATCTTATAAGCTAATTAAAATACGGCTACACTGTTTTGTAGTTGTGTTTAACTTCACTGACTGTCGGTTATTACAGTCTACCTGGGATGTAAAAGGTAGTTAATAATAAACTTCAGGTAATACGTCGATGTCATTACGTGGAAGTGGAAGGTCGATGGACCCCCCAAGGCAAGCAAGCTCATTGCAATGGCTGTTTAACATGCATTTTTATACCCTTAATTTTGAAATTAAGCTTCTTAAAGACTGATAGTATTGATTATACTAATATTATAAATGCGAATGTTTGTATGGATTGATGGATGTGTGTTAGAAAATATATCCAGAAAAGCTGCACATATATCTAACTTTATTTTGGCATGGATGTAGAAAATAGCCTGAAACAGCGCATAGGCTACTGCCTTGTTATAAAGTATCTCCAGAAAGGCTGGATAGATATCTAACTTTATTTTGGCATAGATGTAGAAAATAGCCAGAAAGAACGCATAGACTACCAATTAAGTTTATTTAATTCCACGCGGACGCAGTTGCCGTCGACAGCTAGTTATAAAATAAATGCAAGAAACATAACTTTTATATTTTTCAAATAAAATTAAATTGTAAAACAAAAACAATTATCTGAATAATGTTTGCTAGTTTACAAATTGAATAGATTACAGTGCCTGCGTCATAACGGATTTATATTCTTCTAAGTTCAAAGGTCTTATTGTTATTGTAATTAGTATAGGACAGGTTGTTGCTTTTTTTAAATAGTGTACTCGTAGTATTGTCGCAATAGTAATTGACGTTATTAATAGTAGCTTAATGATTATGCGCTCGAACTGTGATTAAAAGATCACGGTATCGAATCACGAGTATAAAATGTTCTGATTTTAGACATCAGACTAGACAAAAAGTAAATATGTTTCTCGTTCTATTCTTCCTAGAAGGCAAAAAAAAGAAATTGATTTCATACTAAGGTGTTTAAAGTTTAAACGCATGAACCAAGGTATATTAAAAGAATATTCGAGTAAGAGAAGCTAGCGTTCCGCTTCTTTGTCTTATTTTGACGGGCACTAACTTCGCCGACTTCTAAAATATTAGTTTGGTCTCAAATATTTGTCGAAAAAAGGAACTTTTCTTAAAGGTTTAAGTTTGACTAAATCATTCCAGATATGTGCAACGAAATTTCTCGAATGTTTGAGATAATTCTTGTCTATTCATTTTGTTCCAGTATGCAGATAAGAACGTATATACTCGAAAATTGAACCGTACAACAAAATATCAAGTTACATTAGCTAATCACTTTGTGTTTTACCATGACTAATAAGTAGGTTTTAATCGCAAAGGAATGCGAGCGGTACTTTTGTGAACGTAATATAGAATCTGTCGCGTCGCTAAGTACCATCGCCCTACGACGTCGACAATTAATGTCTTTTTTATTGACCCCTCTCAATTGTGAGCCTATTAGCAGCAAGATGTTCTCTGAATGTACTTATTGATTGCTTGTAGCATGCGTTTATCGAAAGCAATTATTTGAAAATATTTCGCTTAGATAACCTAACAGTTTATGAAATTTTTGTCTGTCTGTTCGGAAATCGACATTTGTTCCGAGTAATCTCGGAAACGGCTGGTCCAATTTAGACGGGATTTTTACTGGAAGGTTATGAGTTCGGGGCTAACTTAGGCCATTTTTTGTTTTTAATTTCGCGCTGATTTGATGTCGCAGGCAACCACTAGTGTATTTTACGTGTTGGATAATGATTCAGCTTACGTATAAATGTTCCTTTGTCAATATTTTTATATCTGCCTATCTTATATGAGTAAAATAATATTTCTTCTGGTATGACAGATAGTTTCTGTTCAATGTAGACATTTATGTAAACTGTTTGAGCGACTTCGATATTTGCGACGAGCTTAAAATAAATCTAGTAATGACAACGTCCAAGAGGTTACTTCAAATAGCTAATTATTTTTGTAATATATCTATTGGTATGTCAGTTTCTAGCGCCCGGATGGTCTGCTAATCTATTTATCGAGTTTCCACTTGGCAGTCGATTTTCAGTGAATCTTTTAGAATTCGTAGCAACCATAATTTTAAGTGAATTATTTAATTAGGTTAGTCGTAGCAGCTTTTAATATATTTCCACACGAATCTTATTAAGAAGATAACAAATTTTGATTATAAAATCACACAATGTTTAAATATTTAAAACCAGTGTTTACTGTGTAATAAATTACAGCGTGTTTTAGTTTCACTGAAAACATTTTCTACTATTCACCCAATACGCGCTGGAAGGAAGACAACAGAAATGTCCCAAATAATCTTGCATCGATACCGTTGAAATTCCACCATTTAGTAGTCACTTACAAAGCACCCTATATCAAAAACATCTGTGGTGTTGCTGATTGGCAGCGGTGATCACTTAACTCAAGGCGACCAGATCTCTCTTACGTCTTTCTATTTAAAAAAAAACAATGTTTACTTACTGTCCTCGACGCACATCTGGTTGTCGGGCAGCAGACGCAGGCCGGTGGGGCAGGCGCAGGCGACGCGCGGCGCTGCGGGGCCCAGCTGCGGCGCGGGCAGGCACAGATGCGAGCAGTGCCCGTTCACCGCCGCGCAGTGGTTCACTCCGTCCGGCTGACGGTACGGGTGATACACGTGGATCACCATCGGGTTCTGCAGCTAGGATAAGTACATGCACCAAGTTAGTCAACGAAGGAGTACCTATCTTATATGAAGTAATCTCTAAAGTATCTTGTATTCATCTTTTAATGAGTTCTCGATTCGCTCTCGTCTAAAGACAAAGAAATTAGAGGTTAGTCACCTACAGCGAATTTAGAGGAATTTGCAAGGTTGGGATGAGAGATAGTCTCATTGGAACCTCCTACGGAAGTCTCCATAGAAGCGTACTGGTAGGTGTGAAGATTGAAAGGGGACGTCTTTCAAAAAGTAAGCATTCCTTATCGCATTGCACAAGTAAACCATGGTGACGTCATCGGGTCATCAGACTCAGGTGGCTGTGAGTGTAAAATTATTTTCAACCATGTCGTAATGGGTTTAACCTGGATGTCGGCTACAGGACAGGCTGAGTCACAACAGTAATCAGGATCAAATGACATTCCTACTAAATGGTTGAAATGGATCATACGAGTGGAATACGAAACGATGACCTACCAGTATAAAGATTTTATAAAATGTCAACGATTATGAAAAGTCCGATGAAAATATTTACCGTGTGCGTTGAAGTGATTGCAGCGACGTTTTTCCCATTGAACTTGTTGGCGCGGAAGACCGCGGTCTTGTCCCAATCGGTCCAGTACACCCAGTCCTCAAACGTGGTGATAGAGAAAGGATGACGCAGCACGTCAGTTGAGTACAGGATCAGACGCCGCGCGGTGCCGTCGTAGTTACAAGATGATATCGTGTTCATTTTAGCATCCACCTAGCAAAGTTACATGATTATTGTACTGTTCATGAAAATACCTATAGAAAATGTATACATTTGTAGATTTTTTTCATACCTTTCCGGGCCTAGTAGGGTATAAAGTATTGTCTATTTTCAAATATCATTGGTAACAATATCAGTTCTAATTTTACTATAATAATAAACAACTTAAAACAAACAAAAATAATAAGATAAAATACACTGAAATAGGATCTTATCGGCTAAAATCTAGTACGTACCCAATAGACCCTCTTCCTGACGAGATCCAGTGTTAGACCGTTAGGCCACTTGACGTCATAGGACACGATGGTCTGTCGATGTGAGCCGTCCATACCCGCACGTTCAATCTTCGGATTCTGACCCCAGTCCGTCCAGTACATCCATCTGTTAAAATGATAAATAAAATCCCAATAATAAATAGTTATATTCTAACAAGTATGCTATAAAAATCATGCCGGTAATAAAATGATAAGAGCTTCCGTTATTCATAAATCAGAAACGGAAATTAATTATATAATATGCCTAAAATAATTAAATATTATTTTTTAAGATAAAACATATGTTAAGTAGACTAGGATAGAATAGTTAAAGTTCATATTGATTTCATTGTTTCTTACGTAAAATACTTTTAAAAATATTGCATCTAACAGTAATGTGTAAATGAATTTAGTTGTTCTTTGCGGCGAGATTAAGTGATCAATAAGGAAGAACGAAAATTCAAGGTTATATAAAATGTATACAATGATAATGGAAATTGTATTTTAATAATTCATTAATGTTTTCATGAACATGCGTAAGCGTCGACCTTTTACATCGATCAGTTTTTATCTGAGTTGCGCATTTTAACTGTACGCCACGCTCAAAGGAGTGCGTCGTGATTTATGCTACGAAAAACATCATTTCCATTTTAAATGTGAATCTATATGGTTTAAAATATATTTTTCATTACTAGTTAAAATTCACTTATCGTGGGTTACTGACGTCAAAATCTCTGTATAAGGCGTATCGAAATCGTAGAGAAGAATAGAATAGAGAAGAAGTAGAGATAGCATTATGTTTTAAAAAGAGATTTTGGAATGAGAAACCCACGGTTATGGCTGCAAGTTGGCTGTTCTTTTGGCAATGTTAATGTTATCTTCATACCAAAATAGTTTGTCATTGATTAAATATACGTAGATAAAATCATAGGTATCGACAATTAAGTAGGGTATCAGGGTTTTGTCCAAAATATAGTTTCTTATAAAAAAAAACTATGTTAATCAAACATAGCAAAGTGGAAATGAGTTCCAAACAACGCAGTAATATGAACAAACTTTCCTTATTAACGTAATCAACAACGTGTCACGCACAAAACAACACTTGTTTGCTAGTAGGGCTGCCAAATTTCTATTAAAGTAGACCCCAAAACTGTCGGCGAAAAAAAACGTCGACCAGTGACCACCCTTGGTCCTTGTTAACGTCAAAAAATCAATCCTCTTTCACAGCACCCACTCAGACTTAGAAACATCGACTACAACCAGCCGAATATGCACTGTGGAAACTCGGAAATTTTCCGAAGAGTTGGTAGCCCTATTCGTAAGCTGCACAAAGGGCTCACGAATAAACGAATACGAAGCGTGTGCGTAAAACTTTGTTAATCTTTTCTTTTATGCGATTATGTCGGCACTGTTTGTGACATTTTGTACGAAATGTGGATCTGTAAGTCTGACGAACAATTCTTTTAGACTTTAGACACACATTAAATGGATATCTTGTTAATATGGTGGAACATGGTGGTTTTTTTAAACTTATATTTAAAGTCAACAAAGGTCTTACCCGTCCAGCGGATTGAGTGCAATTGCCCTCGGTTCTTCAAGACTGTCTCTGATGAGTATCTTCCTCATGTTGCCCTGCAGGTCGGAGAGCTCGATGTGGTTTTTGCCTGTGTCCGTCCAGTACAAGTGGTTGTAGATCCAGTCCACCGCCAGCCCGTCTGATGTTATCAGCTGGTCACCGATTACCACTGTACGAAGACTGCCCTCGTCGATTGGCGCTCTTAGAAAAACAATAATATTGCTCATGTTTTGTACAACCGTATCCTAATCTTTAATTCGCAATAAAGAGAGTACTTCAGTCCGAGTGGCAACCTAAGTGGCTGTAGCCATGCAATATTAATGATTGTCCTTGCTCTTACGATTTTGTGCTTTCAATTTGTAGTATTTAAGAAAGATGTCCTAAATAGTGATGTGACCTACTTTCTATCTCTGAGATTTACTCCCTTAAATTCAGTTAATATTAATAGCTTACTTATAAATTTTTTCATCGGTGACATCACTCCAGAAAATCATTCCAGTGCGGAACACGTAATCCAAGGCTGTCGCTGACTTGGTGTCGTTGACAATAGCGACCATCTCGTGGTGGTCTAGGCTGATCTTGCGGATGTCGAAGCGGCGCGCGAACAGCAGCGAGGGGTGGCCCTCGGTTGCCTTGCAGCGCGTCCGGTCTCGCGGGTCCCGTGCATAGCCCGAGTAGCATTCACACTTGAAGGTTCCCTTCTCGTTGCTGCACACCTGAGAGCAGGATCCCGGGTCCAAGCACTCGTCGATATCTGTAAGTATAAACGTAGTTGTAAGACTTTGAAATTGACTACTATATCCTACCACTTTTTGGTATGTATGGAGTCCCAGAAGAAATATGTTATCTTTTTGTAGTAAAAGAAATTGATGTTTTACCTATAAATAAGTTAATATTCGTAAACGATCGGAATTTGTAATGCAAAAATCATCGCGAATGAGTTTTAACAGTACTTGCCAGTTAGTGCTTAGTGTGCCAGGTATAGCTTAGGTAAGAAACATCGAAAATTATGTGATAATCATAACAGTAATATCAAAAAAGTGAAAAGAGATTCACCTTCACACGTGCGATTGTCGACCAGCTTGTAACCCTTATCACAGTCGCAGTAGTATCCGACAGGAGTATCGACGCATCGTTGCGTGCAGCCGCCGTTGTTGGTCGCGCACTCGTTCGCGCCGCAGCGGTCCCGCGGCTCGTCCTCGAAGTTGGGGCAGTCTGGTTTTTTGTCGCATACCTTCGACAGTGGTATGCACATGCCGCCGCCACAGTCGAACTCCGTCTTACTGTCGCAGATCGGCTTTGGTCGTGCTGAAAATACAAGAAACTTGTTTTATTTCAAACTTGCCTTTCTGGAGAGCTTCAAACAAATATCCATCCATCCGTCCATCCTTCTAAACTTTCACATTTATAATATTACTAAAATTTGTTTTCGTATATTTTCCATAATAATTACTATTGCCACCAAAGCCTATCTCTTAGATACTTAAGTAACAGTGAATAAAATGATAATGGATATCAAATGTTCAAACTTAAAAAATATATATAACTTACTGCAATTCAGTTCATCACTACCATCGGGGCAGTCTTTCTCTCCATTGCAGTAGAGGGCGCCGGGTATGCAGCTGTGATCTTTACATTGGAACTGGTCGATGCGGCAAGTGATATTTCCTCTGCAGATCTCAGGTGCCTCGTCCCCGCCATCGGGACAGTCGCGGTCACCGTCGCACACCCACGTCTTATGCACACATGTCACGCGGTCATGGCACTGGAACTCCGTGGACACGCAAGGAGAAATCACCTTTGGTGTTGTTGGACAACCCTGGAAAATGAGAAAACTTCGCTTTTATCCTTTTCCTATAAAATTAATGTATGTTTATTAATTTCCTTATCAAATTGTGTTTCATTCATCACGTACAGGAATGGATTCTAGTATAGATTGATTGGTACTATACCTACAGTTGAACCGAATATACATTAGCTATTCAACCTTAGTTACCCATGTGTTATTGATGCGCGTTCGGTAATTGATTATGTTATATACGTCTATAAGTAAATACGCAATACATAATATGTGGCCAGCTATGACAACAAATATTTACATTGTTGTTGTAGCGATGTTCAAAGGAAATTTACAAAGAGCTTTAGTTTGATTAACATGGTTATTGAGCGTGCACTTTAAACCATGCATTTAAAGTAATAATCTAAAATATGTTACAGTAATATTAATAATTGAAAGGTAAGAGCATATTGTTAATTTACACTTTACACCGTTTAAAATATGTTTTTGTTCATATTTCACGACATAAATGAGATATCTGTTATGTTATGCGATATGTTAAGTTCAAAGCGACAGAGGTACAGTTGGATTTGGATAAGCAAAAACCTCTTTAAGTAAGAGTGTCTGGTATTGACGTTTTTAGGCCCTAAAACCTTTAAAGTTAGCAATAGAATCCTCTGAAAGCCTAGTTCTACGTACGTGTGTACGTACAACTACATTTGGAATTTTTCGTTTGATAGAATGATATATATAATTATAACTTACCGCTTCATCACTGCCGTCAGGACAATCGATATCTCTATCGCAGCGCCACCTGGCGGAGATGCAGTGACCATCCGCGCAGGAGAAGTGGGCGTGTGGCTGACACGTCGGCGCTGGACACTTGGCTTCATCGCTGCCGTCACTGCAGTCGTCATCGCCATCGCAAACCCATCTCTGCTGGATGCATTTGCCGTTCCCACACGTAAACTCGTCGGCGCGACATGTCTCATCTAATTATTTAATGCAATCATCATCAGTAACTAAAGTATAATACAAACTTTACAGCGGCTGCAAGAGGCATGAGATGTTGCCAATATGCCATGCTTTCTTTCGCAGACTAAGAACCCCGAGCCGCCGTAAAGATTGAATCTTGTAATACTAGACAATGCACACTAATTACACTCCTTTACTTGTTATCAGTCAGATTAGACCGAGTTAGCATTCTGTAGGTCTCCTTATAATTTATACAAATCTTTATGCTTCGAATAACGGTTTACTATATGTATCATCATCGAATTCGTCTCTTAATACAGTTATAACTACTAATCTCACTAAAATTTCATAATTTAGTCACACATACTTATCATTATAAGTGACTAGAATAATAAAAACATTTTCCTATTTAAAGCAATTTATATTTCCAAGTATTGAATTTAGAACGATCTTTCTCTAACACAAAAACGACGTAGAAACCTTCTAACAATATGTACACAACTTTAAAATTTAAACGACAAGAGACACAGTTCCCCGAGAGGATTTCGTTTCCAGACTATCGTATGCAATATACTCGTACATACATATAACATCGTGTATGTAGACAGGAAATGCTGAGTTTTATATCATAAAGTTTTGTATTGACTGATGTACTATATTGTAGTGTTCAAATCTTTATTATATACACGCAAGTGTTTGTAGTTTGTTTGTTTTAATCAAAAAGTATTTTACGTTATGTAAGTACTAAAAGTATTAACGTGAAAACAAAACAACGCTTAAAATAAAGTTTAAAAGTTTTACAAGTAAACGTAAAAGAAAAACCTCAAACTTCAACATAAAGATATTTTCAGTGGTCTTTTAATAAGTTAATATAACTTTAAAACTTATTAAAACAAAGTTTTAATAATTTACCAGGCAACTCTTAGACGCTTAAATGAAATAAGATAAATACGAAAAACTAACTCTCACCAGTCCCGTGTCTGGCGAGAGTATTTCTGTTTAATTAAATTCTTTCCCAGAACAAGCCAATGCATTAACTAGTTATCATTGTCTTGAGGTACTATATACTTTTACTATTTTCATTTTTTTTTCAGCACTGGCTACTGCGCGTTTGCCTCCACAGAAGAAAAATACGTACAATATAAATAACCTAACCTATAAAACCTCTAGCTGTTTAACTTTATTAAAACTACAAATATTTATAATGAAAACAAAATAATATTTATAACATCATCCTTTATCATCGGACAATTAAAATAAAAAAGCAACAATTTTATTGTTTCAAAACTAATATGAAGTATTGTTACGAACTGTTAAACTCCAAAATGAGTATCCTAACTCCGTCAATACGTGCCAAAGTAATGACAATACCTTTATGTTGAAGATTTGAGAAATGGGAAATGACATCGTATCGGACCTTTTTACGGTAAGAAAGCTTACGGATATAAAGGCATGCATAGAATATTATCTTTTAAGGTTAAGTTATAGAGCGAGATGATGAAGGATACGAGTATAAGAAATTTATCGACAGATGGGCCGGATATTTGTATAGAATGCGGAATATCTAGGAATTCGTTTCCTCGATTGATTGATGGTTGTTTGGTACGTTATAAATTAATTTTCCACTAAATTAAAAACTAGGAATCGAGGAGTTGTGTAATATTATTTGTTATCTCGTTCTAACACTAGACACAAGCAAGGTATTTGCGTTTGTATATCGAACTCTGGAGAAGGTTAGGTTGGAGATTATTTTGGGATTTTTCATTTATAGAATCGAAGATTTGTGCTTCTTGTCGTTTTTATATTGTGTACATACAACTTAATTTAAATTTGAAATTTTTGCCCTAAGCTGATGCATACAAAATTGAAATGAAGGCCAATGAAATGATTTATGAATTTGAAAATACGCAATGGAAAACCCAACAAGTTGTAGAATAGAACTATAACAATGTTGTCTGACAATGAATAAAGTAAAACCCTTACTGCATGCTTTCTCGTCCGACCCATCTGAACAGTCTGGGTTGTCGTCACACATCCAGGTGAGCGGCACGCATTCTCCGTGCTTCCCTCGGCACGTGAACTCTTCCGGGCCGCATGCCTCCACTTCTGTCAACCCAAGTCATGCTCATGCTAAGTCTAATGCAAATGAAGAGGATAAAAGATACCAAGAGACGTTAACAAACCTATCGTATCTTAACGTTTATGATTTATTTTTGCCGATGGATTTCCCGTGACATGCGAACGCGAACGATATTTGAAGTTGCCTTGTCGAACGTCCAACTTAATGTCGTCAACTATTAAGCGATGGCACCAAAAGACGAAGACCTAATAACGTACAACTTTCTAATGCTGAAATGTTTTTCTTGCTGTCTTTTCCTGTAACATGCTCCTCTTAATCATGCTCGTAGTCCTCATGCGTTTTCGAGCTGGTGCCTTACCACAGTGGTGCTCATCAGAGCCGTCGGGACAATCTGGTGCATCGTCGCAATGCCACGCGGCCGGTATGCACTGACCGCTCGCACACACAAACTTGTGTTCCGGACAGCTGCTGCGCTGTGCCGCTGTTTGTTAAACTTTTATTGATTTCTTTCATACATTAAAGGCTTTGGATGATTTTATTTTAATAAAGCGTGCTGCTATTATAAGAAGGGTAATCCAGTCACACGGTCACAAAGCTCAAATGTAGAGTTTATCCGTCAACGGACTTATTTTTGTAGGAAATACATCATAAATCCTGTTTATTCCAATATTATAGTAAATTATGTAAGATTTAAACAAAATTTGATTTTAAAAGAAATAAAATACAACCACACCCTGTATACAAAAACTTTAAAATAAATTCTCTTTATCATTCCATCTGTCATAAGGTAATTAGAACAGTTTTCTCCGCACTTCAGTTCCGTTGTAAAGTTTTGGGGACACGATCAAATTAATGAGTGTCTACGCTCAACACAGGCAGTGGCAGTGCCGCGACTAAAATGTAATTAATTGAACTAAATAGTCCTATTTCGAGCGTAATGTTGTTTTAAGTTGCGTCTAATAAATTATATAAACTGAGACGATCTACGTAGTTAGCGTGGGACTGTTTGTAGAAAAATTTACCAATTCACTTTGAGGTATCATTGAAAAATATTATTCTACGTATTTTTAAAGGGATCTCTGTACTAGGTAAAGACTTTCCGTAAACATTTTTTTTTTATAACAGAAGGGGGCAAACGAGCAGCGGGAACACCGAGGTATTCAACGACGCCCATGGACACCAGCAATACCAGAGGAACCGCAGATGCGTTGCCGCCCATTTTTCGTTGTTGTGGTGAACTTAGTAATAGCAAGCTACTAGAAAAATATTTTAATCTTGTTACTGATGTAAAATTTGATCAGGTAACTTTTTGCGGACAGGATAACAAAAGCAAATTACAATTTGAGATTTTTTCCTGTTTACCCCAACTTGGATTTCTAAGAATTCGGTTTTGGTTTAAAACTTTATTAATTCCGAAATAATATCTCTTTTTCGTCTATAAACAAATATATTTGTTTATGCAAATATGTGAATATATTTGAGTTATTCGGCAAATATAAGAGAAAACCAAATGATACTCGTTTCTTCGCAGAGATAATTTACCGGTTCGTGTGTTTCAAACACGAGAGTAATCCCGTATAAATCCTTTACCATTTGCTCCATTACGTTGCGTCTACAAAGTAAAACAAATTAACACAAGGTTCATGGAAATATCTATCGAATGTTTGACAAAATATCATTACCTGATCAATCACGCATTTCAATATAACACTGCGTATGTTTTTTTATTAAAGATATATTTGAATGGAAAATGAATTATGAATTCATACATAAATATGGTAAAAGACAGGTCAAAGATTATAAAATTAATCCGTGAAACTTTGAGCCGTAATTAAGATTTTAATCCGCGTCGGAAGCCCAGCTAAAGACTCGGTACGCGTGATGCCTTTCAAACTTTTCCCGTGAATTTTAATTTAATTATATTTCGAAAATTGATTTTTTTTCAATTAAATTTCGAGCTAAAAACATTTTTACTATTTAGAAAAACGTTAGTTAGAGAAACTTTTTTTTAGATTTAGTGTTTAAAGTCGAATGTTTTTTAACATTTCTTAAATTTAAAGGAAACTGGATATACAATTTTATTTTTGACCAAACGATAACTTAAATAAAATTAATTTGTTATGTTGGTATGGTGTAAATATAATATTACTTTTGTAATATTATATAAATGGGCCAAAAATCTATTTCTGATTTAATGTTCGTCTACATTAATTACATACTACATTAGTTTCTAACGTATCTGAAAATATGTAAAAAAAAATTGTAAATTAATAAAATTAAATTTATGCTCCTTTATTTCTTATCTTTTTCTTACGAATGAGAGCTTAGTAAGATTGCTTTATTACTGTTATTTTTGAATATTATGCTCTTCAATTAACTTATAACTTATGTTGTACTTACTGCATGTTCCAGGTTCTTCATCAGAGCCGTCGGAGCAGTCCTTCTCGTTGTCGCAGCGCCACGACAGTGGGATGCAGCGGCCGGTCTTGCATCGGAACTCGTTCGATGTACACGTGCGACTTTCTGTTCGAACAAAAACTTTATTTTAATGTCTTTTCTTGATCAGCTGAAGATAGCATTTGGTGATATGATAACCATAGAGAATATATCAAATAAACAAAAGAATTCGAAGAGAGTGTGAATACTCTCTGATATGGGGAATTAGAACAATAAGCAAGAAAAGCATGTTCAAAACAAGACTTTTCAGTTAATGCAGGAGTTTATTTTTTTGACGTTATTCTCTACAAGATAATTTTTTCTGTAGTAAAAGTTAATGGCAAATCTTAAAGTAATAATATAACTTGTTTCTGAAAAAAAAATCGTCATAAATAGAACAAGTAATTTCCGCGAAATTTAATATAGAAGCATGGTCCCTGAATTTAACAGGCAATGTACAAATAATTGCTTCGGTTTGAAGGACATCAGTTAATTACATTACTGAGCTTTAGAGAGGCACAATTATGTCTCAAGGTAATCAGTTATACAGTATTAACAAGGTTTTCTTGCTTGAAATGCGTACTAATTATAATCCATTTTATATCTTCTTAAACTCAAGGTGTCTAAGGAGTTTCAATACCTTTTTGGTTATGTCATATAGAAAAGAAAAAAGTAAATTATACTTTTAAAATTAGTCAAAATTTTTATTCGTTGTCTTTTCTGATAAAAAATGTTAATTTTATTTTATCTCGCTAACAATCTCTTAATTAAAAAATGGTACTGTTAGACAATAGTGAGATATAAAATGATCCCGTAAAGTTATTGGTGTTAAATATTAGTAAAAAAGTAACGCACTGGTGTCTTTAAAATACAAAGTATCAATTTAACAGTGGTAGAGCCCGCTTTAACATCTTCGCACGAATTGGCCCGGCTCGCCCAGTGAAATACCATGACCACACAGAAGACAGGCGTGAAGTGGAAGCAGTGTGCGGAGGCCTAATTTAGTCCTCTTTCCCTTCTCACCCTTTTTCTTATAAGGAAAGGATGGGAAGTGAAAGTGAACTTTCCGGATGAGAGGATGCATGGAAAGGGAAAATATTTTCTTTGTGTGCATAATCTCCTCCGTCGACTGAAGGTGGGCGACGCATATGCAATTGCGTATGTCTATGGGCAGCGGTCAATTCGCTGTTTCAGCGATTTCAGGTGGCCGCTCGGTCGTTTTCCATCTTATGATAAAAAAAAACCAAATCTAATTAAATGTTGTCGTTGAATTACAGAAAAGCAAAAAAGTACATAGTTTGATTCTGTTGAAAAATAGAAACAGTCTACACGAGAGAAACTCTTGAATGTTCAGTGTTCACTCTATCAAATAACAGCGTAGCGTCTAAAAGGACCTTGTATTTCGCACTAGACTCTTTTCATTACATCTCATTCCATTGCAATTTCTTTTAAGATACATTTCTTAGGAATGTGATCTTAGCGAACGAGTTACTTTCGCATATGTAAATTCTTTGCTAAAAGCATGCAATTTTGCTCGACTTTTAATTTATGAGAAAGGAACTGTAAAATAATTGCAATCATTCTAAAAGAAATTCTTCTTTGATATACAGCACGTTCGTCGTCAGATCGTCAGCATTAAAAAGAAAATGTCCGTCGATGAGCAATAAAACCTTGTAAATGGTACATTATTTATCTGTTACGAACATAAAATAACACGTACATCCAATTCACGGGCCGTTATTGCTGTTTGAGAAAGATCGCTACTCACCGCTTAATGTAGTCTCGAGTAATATTGAAGAAAATTATCAGCAGGTAGCAGCTATATCTCGCGGTGATTCAAACCGCGCCGAGTCACGCGCCGACGAGCAATTTGTAAACAAAACGCACGCCCTCAGAATATCTCCCTTCGAGTACGCTCGCAGCCCTTTTACCCTAACCATAGTAATAAATTCAAGTGAAGCTTCAGAGATTGCCGTATCGTATGCCGAAATGTATTTTTTATTTCGTTTAGTCAGAAAAACACTAGGAATATTTATTTTATTGTAATTTATGTAATAATAACTAGCTATTCATGCAGTGTCACCTAAATATTAGGATTGCAATATCTTGTTTAAGTTTGTGTGTAATTTTATATCATTGATATTGGAAAACTCAGTAAAAAGTTTATTCCTATTTGCTGACTCTATTTAAATAAATAAAATCAATCCATGTTGGGACGCTATGCCTACACATTTTGTTCCGATTCGAATTTCCAGGCGATTTGAGCGAAACAAATCCCCAGTTACATTTAATTCGTGACATTTTTCCATAGAAACGCTACCGAACTGTTCTAAGCCGAGGATTAGTTCCAAACTCGATTTCCTTTTTTTGGCAAGTCGTCGAATTCAATTATAACTGGAGCGTTTTTCGGAGAATATTAATGTTTTATATTTTTAAACGATTTTATTCTGGAAATAAAAAAAAAAACCTTGTTCGAAAATTACTGTTACGATGTATTTATAGATTTTGAAATGAGTCGTAATTTTTTTATTGGAATTATTTTTATCTTATGAATTTAATCGGCTGCCAGTATTACGAGTATAATAAACAATCTACGTTTTACGACTGTCGTACTGTGGAACAATTTCATTTAACTCGTCTGAGATGGATGTGGTTTTTATGTGTCCTACTTTATAACAAAGGAAGGGACACTATTGTATAAGCAAAAAATAGTTCTGACATAAAACCCTACGTTCCCAAATCATGACAAGCGTTTCATTACAGTGGCTATTACTGTGAACATAAATGGATGTAGTAATTTCCCACAAGTTCGTTCTTGACATTTACATTTTGGACCCAAAATAAAATCAAGAAAAATGCCGGATATAATTTAGGTCACCGAGATTAATTTGTGGAAAAGTACAAAAAAAGTTCTGCTGAATTTTCATTTATGTAATAAACTATGCTGCACCGTTTGCGTTGTGAGAGACTAATACACATTTAAGCAATTTCCATAAACCCCGTATAATATTAACGAAATAAAAAATACGCAAAAATGTTTAATACAGAGCAGGAGAATAGAACACAGAAATGTAAATATCACACATATAGTGTAGATGTATTGTTTTTCAACTTACATATGTAAAGCTTTTCAAGTTAAAAGCTTTTAGTATCTTATAAGTATTTTCAGTATCCTCATACTGAAAATACTTATGTGTGTTATAGGGTTAGAGAGACGAAGCAAAAAAATTACTTAATATACAAGCATATTTCTTATGTATATTTTGTAGAATACATATATGTAGGTGTCGTTTTTGCGTACAAAATATACGTTTAATATTAAGAAACTTAGCATTTAAAATGTTCTCTCGATGTAACCTTTTTTTAGCTTAAACCTGAGCTTACAGCGCGTTAACTCGAGACGGTACTTGAGAATTAGTTCACCTTAGACGTTAATAATTTAAAGCGAGGACGTGTGGAACATATCTTATGTAAGACTTTAGTACTCATGACATATATTTTTTGTTTTCACAAAGAAAGGCGATAGAGTGTAGATTGTCGGAATTAAATATTTTTCTATCATTAAAAAGTTGATTAGTATCGTTTCGTCGACATGTCTACATAAACATATTGTCATCCCTCTCATTATATAAAAATTGACAAAATAATTCATTTTGTACTATTAGGGAATTTGACGGTCTTCCATTTTAAAGGCGACAATCATTTGAATGTTTCCTAAAAATTGAAATTATGCGGAATCAATAATCAATAAAACGCAGCTTTTCCACTAAGAAATTGGAGTTACTTTTATAAGTTAATATTTCTTTAAATTCACTATTACATAAGTCTGAAATATAGAGCCAATATTATACTTTTAAAGCGTGCTGTAACAAATAATGGTCAATGAATGTGGTTCGTGAAATAATCTCCATATAAGAGGATTATTTTCCATTCACTTACACATCTCTTCACCAAACCACTAGTCGCAAATTACTTTAATGTTACCGGAGTATAAGCCGTAACATGTGCTAATTGTAATGTACTTTTTAATTTAATTTAAAGTATGGATAGTGATGGTTATTTTTAGAATTTTGGTTGCAATATTTTTCCTCACTATGCAGTTCTGTCAAAGGAAAACTGTTACCAAACAAGAGGTTTAAGTTTCAAAAGAACTTTGTAACGAACTCTGCACACCGGAATCTGAAAGAGTTTCTCCACTTTTTTCTTTGCATCACTTTCTTTTGACCGTCATTATCAAGATTGTCACAGTGTATTAGGACTTTAGCATTAACTTTGATAAAACAAATTTAATATAAAAATTCTCTCCTTAGAGAACACCAAAGAGATTAAATTACGTATTTTAGTTTTAAATTTTTTAAAACTATTACATTATTCTATTCCAATGCAAACCAAGTAACCGAACAATAGCAATTCCAGCAAAATATTCAAACAACGCTTGTAGTGAACGCGAAATGCACAAGCATTAGTGCAAATTGTCCCCAAGATGGCAATAGCGCTGAAGCACCGGGAAATTGTATTACCGGGCTGTCTTCGCAAGGCAATAGCTTGTGCATTCGTTATGTACGTAACTGGCGGCTTTGGCGCGAATCTCCATGTTGTCGATATTCGGCCGTTAACTTCAATTCAAACACATTGGCAGCTATCATATCAATAAAGACTTATTTATTTATTAATATGGCTATAAATAGCGATGTTTTTCGCTCATATATACTTCAAAAACTTGCGCATGCTAAGATGAATGTGTGGTGTGACAAGAAGGGATCAAGTTATTAAGGTATTATATATATTAGAGGAAGTTTGAAAGTACAACCAGTGGTTGTAGGATGATCAACACATAAACAAAAAAAGTAATACGATTGAATTTGGATGACTACAATGGTAGAGGAAGACCAAAGAAATGGATGGATTGAGTGAAAAGGATATGCATAAGAAGGGGGTGAATTCAGGTACGAGATGATAGAAATGTACAGGGGCTTACTACATACTGTACGGAGGGCAGGTAGACGATGATATATATATCTTAAGGTTTACAATAATTACTAAGGGGTCAGGTTTTTTATAAAGTTTGGATAAACTTTAGTGTTGGT